CCCCCCACCCCGCATATTCAAAAAGAACTGACCATAACTTGACTTCTTCCCTTGTCTCTTGCTTTCCCTTTTGCTTTCGATTGCCTTTCTACTTTCACTTGTGACCCGCTCCAGGAGTTGCGGCTAGACCCTCGATAGCTCGTGTGCGTGGGTTAATGAACACCGACCGAGGCCGGATGTGTAACCCTCAGCTGGTGGGTCTTAAGATAGAGCAGTACCCAGTAAGTGCAGGGGTTGCTAAACGGGGTGAGAGGTGATGACGGGTCGATACGGGCAACTAATATGGAGTGCCGTGTCGATCGTTCACAAGCCAGCCAACGTCGACGGTGCCAACGCCATGCTTACCTAACCCCTCCCCTCCCTCCTCTTTCCGGCAACTCCCGTGTCACGCGCCAATTCTCTAAGTGTATGACCTCACCACGCGTGTGAGATGTCCCGATGTGGGAATGGGCGGGGAATTGGAGGTTTGGGTCTATTGGGGGGGGGGGGGTGGGAGGGGAGTGCGGTGAGCGGGTGTTATTACTCTGTTGCTTACTCTACTGCTGCTACTCTTGTACTACTCACAACTCGTACTCTCACTCATACTACTCTCACTCCCACCACTCACACACACGTACCTCCCACTCTCACTCTACATCTCTCATGCCCTGGCTACCCTTCCACCCCCTCCCCTCCCCCTCTGCATCTGCATCCCACTCCACCCACACTCCCCACACTCCCCTCCCACCAAACCCCCTTCCCACTCCTCTCCCTCCCTATCGAACTCCTCATTTCAATCCTTGCACAAGTCCCTGTTCCAGATCTTATTAGGTGTAAACAGGTCCGTCCTTCCTCCCTTCCCTACCCTGCTTGTACCGCACTAACGCCCTCTCTCCTTCCTTCCCTCGCTCGTTCGCTCCGCTCACTCGCAGGTCTGCAAACTCCTCAACACGACAATCACCCACTCCCTCCCCCTCCGCTACCTCACCTCCCTCCACCTCTCCGGTCTTCAACCCTGCGCCCTCTCCCCCCTCCCTCTGCACGAAAAGCTCGACCGCTTAGAAGCCCATTTCCTCGCTTGGAAACATCTACAGCCGGGGCAGAGGATGTCTATTCCCTTGGCGCAGAGGTGTACGACACTTTACGAACTGTACGGCGGCACTTTTGTTAGGGGCACTTCCCAGCCTCTGCTCGCGCTCCACCCGCACCCGCCCCAGCAGGCCCAACACGCAGAAGACCAACCAAGACGCACAGACGGGATATATGTCGTAGACCTACCGAGCGAAGTTGGAGAACTGGAAAGTGCGAGCTGGGAACGGCCTTTGAACCTCCCACTCGGCGCGGGGGGAGGGGGGACGGTGGAGGACTTTACGTTGGATCGGGCGGGGGATTTGTGGGTTGGGGTTGGGAGGGTTGGGTGAGTTGTTTTTCTGGCTGTTTTTGGCTCCCTTTGGCTGGATTGGGGTTCTTGGTGCGGGTGTGGGTGCCGGTGCGGGCTGTTTGGGTGGGGTGGTTGGACGTTCGGGGATAATCTGGGATTTGGGATTTGGGATTCGGGATTCGGGAGCTAGCTCTGGGCGCTTCGGGCTCTGAACCCCGTTGGCTCTATCCGGTGCTACCTTGCTCTATCCTGCTCTGCTCTGCTCTATCCTGCCCTGCCCAACCCCTACCCTGCTTTCCACTTCTCTTCCCTTCCCTTCCCTTCCCTTCCTCTCCTACATCATCACCCCCCAGACAGACATTTGCTAACCCCCAAAAAATTAGGGAAGAATACGTGATCCACCTCCGGACTCTCTCCACTGGAGGTGAACATCCGCTTGCGAGGGTTGGGGAGATTAGGCATCGGCGTGGGCGGGGGTATGCGCCTGCGCCTGCGGATGCGGACGGGGACGAGGACGCGGACGCGGACGGGAACGCAGATGGGAACGGGAATGCTGGTGAGGGGAACGAGGACGGGAACGCAGATGCTGGTGAGGGGAACGCAAACGCGGATGGGAACGGGAACCCAGAAGCTCGGACGAGCTATACGATGCAGCTATGTGGGACTTCCCTGGGGATCTTATTCCACTATCCACCCCAGCCTCATCCCCAGCCGCACCCTCACCCTCACCCCCACGCCGAGCCGCACCCGGACCCCCAGCCATCCCAAGAACTGCTCATCTGGAACTGGACCACCAGCACTCTCAGAGCCCAACTCACCCCCGCCGACGCCGACCTAGGGGAAGAGGAAGAGATGCACTCCTTTTCTTTCCTTGCCGAGGATGTGGTCATGCTTGCTAAGACTGGGGTGGGGGAGGCGGGGTTGGAGGTGGTTTGGGTTCCTGAGGCTGCTGCGGGATCGGGGTCAGCGCCCTCGCCTGGGGAAGGACAACCAACAGCAAGAGCAAGCGCAAAAGCAACAGCAAGCGCAAGAGCAAGAGCACGACAATGGAAACCGCGGGAAGCGCAAAAGATATGCACCTTCCGCCTTCCAAAACTAAGACGGGAATGGACATATACGAGTATCGTAACTCGGTCTGATCCTGCTCCTGTTGCTAGGCCGTTTGACACCCTTCCCATGCCTTCTGGCTCTGACTCTGGCTCTGACTTTGTCTCTGGATCTGGCTCTGGCTTTGGCTTCGCGTCTGGCTCTGCAGCGCACTTCCGCTCGCGATCAGATTCCCAATCCCAGTCCCAATCCCAATCGCGGTACACTCCCACTTCTCCCGGCCGCTCCCGCGCCCCTCCCCCTCTCACACCCCTCACAACCCCCCCACCCCCCTCCGGCGACGTCGATCCTCCGCCTCTCCCCCGCGAGCACATTTCCTCCCCCAC